TACTTGACAGGTATGGACACCATTAACTATGCAAACCTCAAGATCAGTCACTTGCCTTGTAAACAGGAAGTAGCATTGTATTGCATTGGACAGAGTTGCAGTATCATACAAGAAGCAGACAGCAGATGCCACAGCAGTTTCATGGATTGTTAAAGACCTGGAGAAAGACCTCAGACAAGATGATTCTAATACATTCATGCTTACTTAATAAAACATGTTTTTCAACAGTTTTTTAAAAGTAAGAATACAAGTTATTAACTTGCATCTCTATGACTAATTAATCAAAAACGTTTATACAAGGACAAGTGGACTATTAGAAGTGAATGTTAAAAATTATGTTAGTTAGATTTCAAGTTTTAGTTCATCAGTACTTTGCATAACACGCCTGGGAAAATTCACCAGCTGTGGGCTGTCAGGGCCGGCAAGGCCTTCTCTGCTGGCCTAAGCATAATCAGAAAAGTACATTAATTTATTTATTTTTTCATAAATATATAAATAAAATTATTCTCTATTGTCTGTTCTCCTTATGTCATATTATATCCACTTTGTTGAGCTGCTTCTGATGTTGTATATTACAATAGATTTTTTTTATCCAATCAAATTTCAGCTAGCTTGTGTTGTCAGGTGCTATGAAATCTGCCCAAGGCCTTCAGAATAGTGATGGGCACGGTGGTTCTTTTAGATATACTAATTCACTAATTCACTAATTCAGTTCACTAAAAAGATTTGTTCAAAAGATTCGTTCACCGAATCATTCAGTGCTTGGTGGGAGGAGCCTGCAACTCTGACCCTCTGAACTGATACACAGCTGAATGGTTCAGGATTCAGTTTAATCCATAGCTTCTGGGACCGGGAGACGAAAGTGTTTGGGTGTGTCTCTTTGGTGGACAGGTTTGTAAAAATGAACACTTTTACAAGTCATAATGTTTTAAGTGTACTGTCCTATGGTATGCTATTTATCAGGTCTGCTCGGTAAATTGGGCTCATTGAGTGATTCGTTCACTTAAGAATTCACACTGAACATGCACCGTTCTTGCAAACCGCTGCACTCATTATTTATGCACTACTTGTTACATGCCGTGTCCTATTGTGTGCAAGTTGTTGTGGTGGCAATTTAGCAGTAAAAAGTGAAAAAAAAGGTCGTTTTGTTCAACAAAAATGATTCCACAGAGTGTCGTTCAATGCGTGATCTGTTTACCAAGTGATTCAGGCGTCATGCATGCGGTCCCTTGTTCACGGGCTGCTTGTCTGGCAATGCTGCTGACAGCTCAACTGAAGTGAGGAATTAACAAATCACTTGAGGAAGTGATTCTGTTCAGTACGTTCACTTAAAATATTCGGTTCTTTTGAACGAATCGTTCGCGAACGAAACAACACTACCTCTGAATTAACAGAACAGCCTCTCGTACGCTGTAAGTGAACGGACACAGTCAGTTGCAATAGCCAATCAGATCTCGAGTTAAGGTCTTACGCTGAACCGGACATGTACGCGTCCTGTGATTGGATAAGCACCAGCGAGAACCTGAGAGGCGGTACTTTACAAAATATCAAACTAAACCCAGAGATCTGTGAGCTACCAACAAGCTATCGCTGTATTTCGCTGTACGAAAACACGACCGGACAGACACGGCTTTTAGCATTAGCCTCCATGTCCATAGAGAAGGACTTATCAATGGAACTGAAATGAACAGGTAAACTGTGGAGCCATTGAAGTCAGAAAGGTGGATGGATTTTACTTTCAGGAAAGCAGGCGCTGTGGAGGAGATCCGTATTGGTGAGTGCAAGCTTCCTATTTTTAATGGCAACAATGCGCAACTTATTGGACAAACTTGTTTGAGCACACATAGCAGACTTTTGGTGGGTTTTTGGTGACTTATATCCTAAAATCGCCTTTTATTTCAAAGTCTTGACATTATCTGTGATCTTCGTTTTCTACTGTTAACTGTGAATATGTGCTTATATTGGTTCTAAATGCTCCTGAAATTAAGTGTTGCTCGACTAGTCTGTATGAAGGTGATGTAATGTTTAAGTGTTATTCTGATGGATTCTCGAGCCATGCTGTCATATTAATGGTATTATGATGTGTTTTAATTTAGGTAGGACTAAGTGGACTGGCACTGAATGCCTAGGTGTGAAATGCACTGCCCGGCTACACATCAAAAGTTATCATTGCAACACATCTTACAAACTCTGCTTTCTTCTTCTTATTGCTATCTTAAGACCTTGACTTATTTTCCTTTTTATCCTAAGAAATACCATCACTTTAATTTATCTCATTATCTCGTGAATTTGATATGAACACAAGGTGCCTGTGGTCTGATAAAAGGAGGGGCCCATCAACCCCTCATTCCAGCTGATAGTTGCATAGTCAACCACACGGCTCCAAACCCAGCTCCCCTCAAATCCAGACTTGAGATTTAGTGCGATGAGAAAAACAGGGCTACTACAGTCAGTCAGTATGTTTACATGTTATGAGAAAAAAAAAAGTCCAACTATAACTGGATGTTACAAAGCACAAAGTCGCATTGGTCTACCATAGGGTGGGTTGTACGCTCTACCTCCCCCTACACCCCTTATACAAAGCTTGTTTTTCATGATACTTTTCTAGCCATCTAGAAGACAAAACAATTAACTGGCCACTGTTACAGGTTAGACCACAACGAGCCATCCTACTATTGCCCACATTGATAAGGTAATTTGAGTATAATTATCACCCGGCTGTGTTCTGATTGGTCAAAACCTCTTGAGAATGCAAAATATCTTTATATAGCAAAAGGGACACCACAGACGCCTCCATCACATGCCAACATTAACATAGAGGAACTTTTTATGACTACTCTCGATGTATTCATAAAGCACAAAACTATAGATTGGTAGCTAATTTTTGACCTGTCAACAGCAGCGGAAAGAAGGGAGGCTAAACAGCATAAACTTTAACTGGGAATATTAAAACACATAAAAAGCTGCATCAGAGAGACATCAACTAAATTAAATAAAACAGACAAAGCAAGAGGGAAGAAGACTTTGTGTAACTGAAAACTGCTGTTTTGACATTATTGTTTTGTGATAATATTACAGGTCCTGTCAGGACTTCTTTGACATTAAAAAATACACTGAAACCCACACTGATGCCTTTTCAATCAATACAAGATACAAGAAAATAAAAAGTGCATAAAAAGTATTTAAAAACTTAACTTCTATGCAGCGACGCACAAAATATGAAGAGAACTGTCTGAACTGCTTCTGTTACTCTCCTCTGCTTTATAAAGACTTCACCTGACATTAAGTCAAGTCCGGTGGAACAAAGTGAAATGATTGTTAATACGATAAAAACAGAGTTTTTTCAGTGTACAAGAGTATCTCGACCTTGGGTTTACAAAACACATCAGATGGAAGTCACATGTATTTATTATAGGAATTTATGACTCATAACATGATAAGTTGTTGTGTTTACAAAGCCTGCATGTGGACATGGATGATGTCAATGTGTGAGTGTATTGACTTTCATAATGTCTGTGTCATTATGTGTTACTATCTACAGATTTTGTTAAGATATACAATGATTGTGATGGTGGTGATAATATTTTTATCCATGTACAACATGTGAAATCACAACGATGGTGTTTTACATGTTATGATTACACCATATATTACTATTGTCTAGTAGGCTAGTCTTTTGAGTCTAGTTGGCAGTCTTTTCTTACTTATCATGACACGATTGAGGAAATAGCTGTGCATGCTATAAATCTTTGCCATTTGCTTTTCATTGGATTGTTTTCGATGTGTAACGTTTTGTTTAATTACTGAAGGGGGTCCATTTTGAGCGCCCAACGTAAGGGGCCTTGAACTGCCTTGTTACGCCCCTGGCACAGTCAGACCATGTGCTTAACAGTCAAAACAACAGAACTCCAAATTTTGTTATCTAAATGGGTGCAAAAGGTCATAGCATGGTGGCTGTCAGACTAAGAGAATTTTCTTTACTTCCCCGCAAAACAAGTTGAATGTTTGTCTGTGCGTTGTTTTTGTAACTTACTTCCACTCCTTCGCTTAGTTGGGTTGTCCAAACATTATTATAGTGATGTCTCTCTGAATGTAAAATGGTAACCTTATGGCCAGATTACCATGTGAGTAGGCCAAACAATGCCATGGGGACTGAGCTGAGGTAGAGGCCATCTGGCCTTTGCACTGTGACTAAGTAGTGTGGCTGCTGGGAGCAGGAATCAGGTGTCAGGGGGCTCATTATATAAAATCATTTGGATGTACAGTATGTACTGCAGAAGGATATCTTTGGTGTATTCACTCATGATGCAGGGAGTTTTCGTGATAAAGATCTCTATGAAATTCATAAAAGTGGTACAGCATTCTCATAACCCTGCAGCATCGTTATCTATGTGCAGGATTGTCTTCCCCCCCCCCCGAGACAGTCCTCCATCTTTCCCTTTAGGTACTTTCCACCAGAGGTATTTTAGTTTGCATCCAGAAAATTCCACATTGTAATAGCCACAGTTGGAGGGACAGGTAGAACATTACCCCCGGGCACTTCTGCTCCACTATTTCTGCAGTGTGTGTGTGTGTGTGTGTGTGTGTGTGTGTGTGTGTGTGTGTGTGTGTGTGTGATGCTCAGCAGAACTTCTCTGAGTGGAACTCTGTTGCACTCTGGTGGTCTAACATGGAAATTCACCAGTATTTTAGACTCTTCTTCTAACCAGCTGTGCAGTGGACAACTGCTGAAAGAGCTGCACCCCTCTGAGGCTCATTTCTATCAAAAGCTGACGTAATAAAACTTTATTGATAACGTCTGTAAGCAGCAGTAGTCATGAATCAGTATGACTCAGATTTTTCAAGGCAAATGCGTCAGACTTAAACATGTTGCTTGCGCATCAATAGTGCTATCTCTTAACCAAGATTATGTAGAGAACTGATTTCAGGAAAGTGTGCCAGTTATGACAGAGCTGATACCACATGTAATCATAAAAACACAAGGACAGTATGAAGGCAAAGTTTGGAGAGAATCTTTTTTTATTATAGAAAAATATTTTATAGAAAAACAAATAAGTTATGACTTCCAGCAGCTGCTTTGTAATTTTTCCTCAATTAAAACCTCTCTAGACTTCAACACACTCTCTTTCTTTCTCTTGTGCACACACATTCCTGCCTGTGCTGGTCATTTCACAGTCCTTGAACACCTCCCATTTAAACAGTAGTAAATTCAGCCCCTAATATCCTCATTTGCCCCCATCTCCTAACCAAAAAGAAAAAGTTAGGTGCATTTCAGTCCAATCCTGCAGCTCCGTCTGCTGAATTCCCCTTCATCCACACACGTGGGCAGTGACCTACTTCCCATAAAACATCTCCATGAGCACCTCCTCAATGTTCACCGTCCCTATAACGGGTCTGAAGAAGAGCTGAGCGACTACCAGAGGGCTGATGGCCCTCAGCATGGACAGAGCTATGAGCAGCTTGGCAAAGCGCGTCGAGTCCTCACGGTGGATCAGCCTCACGTGCTCGTTCAGAGCCTGGTGTGCCTCGCGACGCAGGGACTGGATGTAGTGGAGGCAGCGCAAGCCCTCAACATCTGGCGTGGGAAAGGAGAGGAAAGTGGGAAAGCAAAGGAGATGAAATTAGGAAAGGAAAGTAGCAAATGAAAATGGACAAAAAAGAGATGTTAAAAAAGTCAAGTGTGGTTCCCAAGACTATTACAAGCTGCAGTAAACCCATATCCTTAATATTGGATCAGTTTTACATGATTTTAAGGGCATTTGTCACCATTTATAGTTCACATTTTGTTAGGAAGCCTCTGATTTGTGCAAATAAATGGAAACAGTTGTCTTTAAATAAATACAAATCCATAAAAATGAATGTATCTTATCAAAATGAACCACAATTCTTAAAGCTATGAGCATTTTATAGCCTCTATGCAGCCTGACAGATACTTCATCAGTCTGTAAGTATTTCTGCCTGATGCCACCTGTGTAATGTAACTTTACCATAGAAAGCCTACAGGTGTAAATCACCCTACATACCTGGATTGAACAGCACAGCCCCTTTCAGGTACGCGTACTCCTTGGTACTGATATCAACACTCCAGCACTTCTTCAGAAACGCTTTGATAGCCTCGATATCCACCACAGAGACCCCCACCGCCCCCCTGCTCTGCCCGGCTGTAGTTGGCACCTCGCTCTGCCTGTCCGGTACCCCCGTGAGAATACGCTGCAGCATGCTGGGCTCCACCGTCTCCGTCGTCTCAAAGTCCACACGGTCTTGAGCGAGTCCCAGCACGAGCAGGGGAGCCCACCCGCTGCGTATCAACATCAGCTGGTCGTCCTCCGGCAGCTCTCGGAAGCAGGGGACGTTCTTGACGAAGCGCAGCGTCTTCACCAGAACAGCCGAGGCTGCTTTGCACGTCACCTGCGGGGAGCGGAGGACGCCCCGGCGCCGCGTGGAGCCGCAGGAGCACGCCTGCTGCCGGAGCTCCTGTATCGAGACCGGGGCGGTGTTGACGGAGGAAGTGGAGGAGGAGGAGGAGGTCTTGTGGAACAGTTGCTGTAGTTGTTCTTGTTGCTGCTGGGGTTGTTGTTGTTGTTGCTGTTCCTCCGCGTTAGCAAGGCTGTCACTTTTCAAAATGCTGTAGAGGATGCTGTTGTTGTTTTTGCCGCTCGCGCCACGGCAGCGGCAGCCCTCCAGCGTGGCCATGGCCGCGTGCCGCCTCTACATGAGCCGGAGCTCTGCGCGCGCCGCTGTCTCTTTGAAGCTGCGGAGGTCAGCCGCAGAGGTAGCGCTGTTTTCTTTAGCCCCTGATACCCCCGAGTGAAGGGCAGCACGTTTATATTAGCTCCTGTCTGTCCTCGCTCTTTGAAAGCTCGTCCAGACTTTCTGCTTATTCCGCCTCCCCAGGTTCAAGCACCTCCTCTTTCCCCACCTCCGCCTCTACTTCATCTCTCTCTCTATCTCTCTCTCTCTCTCTCTAAGCACACACACACTCCTTGCAGTAGGCTACTTTCATGTATCCAACACCAACAGCCCATAAAAAACAGTTTTTTTCCCTCTAGAAACAACACCAGACATTTGGTAATCATCTTTTTCACTCACATGCCAAAGGTTAACCAGGACATATAACTCATTACACCTTGCAGGCGCATTACACCCCAAGCATCAAAGTCAAAAAGAGACATTAAAACGTCTGGCTTATTTAATAGACTGTAAGTGAGAAGACAAAAAAAGTAAGAAAGGCCAAAGACAGACAAGAAATCAGTTTGTTTCTCCCGTTACCTTGACTCACTGGCAGTGCTGTTCATCAGACGGGAGCGAGTAAAAAATACAGGCCAGCGATGGATCTGAAGGCTTAATTATTTTAGGGACAATTTATATGATTTTCTATGAGAAAGAAGCAGGAAGAGCTGAGCTGTGAAGGCCAGCCTGCAACCTTGACTCGGACACACTGATATTGATTTAACCGTGAAAACAGGAGCTGGTGAATTATGATGTCATGACTCAATGCTCTCCTTGCTTCTGTCACTAAAGGAGGATGAGGGGAGGAGGGGAGGAAGGGAGAGGAGGAGTGGAGGTCAGTGAATGAGAGACTGAGAAAGACAGGTCGGGATAAAGCTGATGAATTGGAGGTTTATCTTAATTGCTCCTAAGAGGGATCACAGGTTAGGGTTGGCTGCTACTTGAGCAAGAGAAAGAGGGAGGGTGGAAGGTGAAAAGGGGCTGCTGGGAAATCGAAGTGATTACTGAGGAGTTTAACCAGGAAAAAAAAGTAGTAAATAATTTGTCCGAAAAGGAGGAACTCGGAGATTGATGCAACTGTTTTGAGGAGAAGCTGGGAACAAAGGCTCAGAATAAAAGATGTACATAGCTTTGCGAGAACTTGCAATTCTCTCTATGATCACTAGGGGGATTGGACTGGTTTCATAACCCAGGATTTCCACCGCATCTGGAATGGCTTCGATCTGGAACTCAGCAATTTTCACCATGCGCCAATTCCTACCGGTTCCATTTGTGAGGCCAATTTCGCATCGGATTACTGACGGCAGGAATCACGAGAACTCACGAGAACCCGCAGATTCACGTGAAATCGCGCAATAACAAGTTGTCTTTAGCCACATAGGCGAGCCATATAAGCAGTAGATTGTGTCCTTTCAGAGGAGGAAATCTACTTTTAGACTTATAAAATCAGCATCCACTCATCCATGTTGTCATCGGGATGAAATTTTGTCTAAAAACCTTTAACTTGTTGTCCCTGCCCATTGGCAATGGTGTGAAATTTTTGTTTTATTTTGTGTCCATGCCAGACTTCCTTTCCAGCACGGGTTAATCTGTGCTGAATTTATCCAGCATGCTCCAGCATCCGGAAAAAATAGAACTCTTTCGATCAGCTGCAGAGTCCAGCGATCCGCAGCAGAACGGAAAGAAGCCAGTGGAAATTGACACAATAAGTTAAATGGTTGTGATCAGCTACGATCGGCCTTTTTACAGCTGTTCCAGATGCGGTGGAAATTGCCAGTCAGCGTCTGTCACCTTTCACGGAAACACTTATTTCTTACATAACTTTTTGTCAACCTACCAGACACAGGCCTTTAGCCTCATCACAACTGGCTACGTTGTTCCTACCTATCAGCCAAGTCAGCTAAGCCTCCAATTCACCAATCTTGTAACTTTGATTACTTCAAAAAGAACAAGTTACGAAAAAAATCACATACAGTCAGTGCCATGGGAGCCCTGAGTTATTCAAACCAAAACTTTTTTTCTTCCAAACCAGGCTGTAAAACCGGTTATTCTTGATTTGGATTTGTATCCGATTCTTCTGCAGCCATTCTTAAGTGGGCTTAAGCTTCCTGACTGACACCCCGGGTTTTGCTAGCCTGGCTTGGCCATCCAGTTGCGTGAATCACTTGCCATTCCTTCCCACAACAGTCTGGACTTCGGCCAATTGGGAGCCCTAAAAGTGGGCGGGAGTACTCTCCTTGATAGACAGACTACTGTAACCAATCACCGTAACCAAACATCTGACGTCATCACAGTGCGCAACTGTGTTCCCTGCTGGGCTCTCAAGCATCAAGTAAAGGTTTGGTAATATTTCAACGTGCACGAGCAAACAATGTCTTTTACGTCTTCTGCGGATATAAACGATTTCTGCCGACTTTGCAAAGTCAACTGCAGAATTTACGGCGTTCTGAATGAACGGCGTTTTGAAAAGTCCCGCAGCATGTGTTAGACGTCACCATCTACACATGGACCAATTAGGGGCTGCCTTTCACTGTTGTCCGGGATACAGTGGAAACACAGTCACTGATTGGCCCAGTTATTTTCTGATTTCTAATACACGCTCCCAATTGGCCGAAGTCCAGGAACGGCAAGTGATTCACGCAACAGGATGGCCCAGCCAGGCGAGGGTTTTGCCTACTTAAGCATAAGTCTTGACCCTTATATCTTCAAAATGAGAGCACAACCTCTCCTTTTCTTTCTCTCTTTCTTTCCGTCTCTCTCTGTCTGTGAGTTGCCATGGTTATAGACACACTGTGTGTCTATTCGTGAAACTTTCTCCCAATCCTTCAGTTTATTGACAACAAGATTCTGTTAAAACAATGGAAAAAAGATCCGCTCTTCACCACGCAGACTGTGCTGACTGACAGTTTGTGACACAGAAATTAATTACATTGTGGATCGTGTTTGATTCTTGCTCAGACATGAAAACTAAACTCAATTTCGGTCATTAAGTACAATAATATATCACAAAAACTCAAGTATATATCGATCAAAATGATGTGAACAGGTGGGCTAAGGTTGCTTGTTTGTCTTAACCTTAAATTGCAGAATAGATGTTATGTAATACTATACATCACCTATTAACCTTAACTTATTTCTCTGTCAGTTGTTGTAATTTAGACTGTCAACACAATAGTGTCACAGTAACACCAAATGTAATTGCCCTTAAGGCTATTTTGATGTTTAAGCATAGCTAGTGGTTTTCAGTATTGAGTGAAACCAGCTGTGGAGATGACCCTGTGTAAATGCTAACCAGTTATCTCAAGAACCCAGGGTAGCTCTTAAATACAGATACACGGCAATGCATACACCTGAGTGGAAGCAGGATAACGATCAAATTGGTTGTTCTCAATGTTCTCACGCACGCCACTTTTGTACAGTCTATGGTTCAGACAAGATTTGGGTAGCTCTGACTCACTAATGCCCTCATGCTGCCTCGCATTGGGGTCTTGGAACAAGGTTGTTTTTAGTGTGAGGGAAAGATGACACTGAGTGTATGGCGATGTTCATGAAATAGCAGTAAGTAGGACCTCAATGTCCCCTGCTCTGTTGTACTGAAGGACATGGCTGTGAATGGAGGCAGGATAAAAAACTTTTGCAGTAGTGCTGGAGCACTGTTCAGAGGCCGAATGTCTTTGTATTGATTTGGCTCAGAGAGAAAAACAGAGAGATTTTTCACATGTTTATATCAAGGACACCGCGGGATAAACAGCCTTCAACCAGCCTGTCTCTTCTCCTGCTCAAGGCCCAGCCAGCGCAGGTTATAAAAATCCTTCCGTCTCAAGGAGAGATTACATTATGTCTTGTTGCAAAAGCACAGAGTTGAAAAGACAGCTCCAGCGCTCTGTCGCTCTTTGTTTATTTATCCAATTTGTACAAGATGTACTTGAGTGGCTCTCCACTTCACCATCTCTCCCTAGAAATGTTTATAAAATGATGCACATGACATAAAGAGGATTGAGATTTAATCAAAGGAAGCTGTAAAGAACATGATGTTTGGGGATGAAGATGACAGTTGAATTAGTTATATGCTTTAATTATTGAGATTCATTATTTTTATGCATCACCTATTAAAGCAACAAAGTGCTTTACAAGAGAAGCAGATTTAGAAGGTTAATCACAACAATTAAAAAGATAATCCTGATAACTAATACTGTGTTTGCTCCAAAGTTAAACATACCTAAAACCCTCCAGACTGTTGCTGAATGCTCCATTACTTGTTCTGATATTTTGGATGTTTGCTGTGCAAGAAAGCAGAACATTTATGGGATCTAGACCTGAGTCTAGTGCTGCTCAAGGTTTATGAGTATTACAAGGAAGTTTTCCCTTGCCACTGTAACTTGCTTAATGCTACAAAGTGTTCTGCTTGTAGTGCATGTAGATGGGCTCAGGGTGGATCTGATCTTACAAGATGGGACTCAGTCTTATCTTATCTGATGAAGAGTATGGTCTAGACCAGTCTTTTGTAATGCATCCTGAGATAACTTTTGTGGTGAATTATAGGGCTGGGCGATATGGCCTCAAATTAATATCACAATACATTGAGCAGTTCATCTCAATAACGATAAATGGATGATAACTACTTCACAAACTGCTAACCCCCTCCCACTTTAACTTCATGTACTTCAGCCACTACAACTTTTGAACCGTCCTCCATCTCCTCACCTGTCTTTCCCTCTTTGTTACAGACTGGATGGCGTGGAGTCACGTCTCCGATGTAGGACAGTATCTTAAAGGGACATGAGACCATAGCCTGCCTACACATATTCAAAACCAACTTTTATTTATTTGTTTTTTTGACACTGAATATATTGAGATGGGCAAAATGATGTTGGTTATTGTCATAAATTTTGGTATCGGTAAATTTTCAGTTTATTGCCCAGCCCTAGTGAATTAGCTCTAGGGACTGACCGATTTATCGGCAAGCCGATTAAATTGGCCAATTTTAGCCCACTTGAGACTAATCGGTAATCGGCCAAAACTCGCCTATTTTCGCCGATATTTTTAGAAATAAAATGCGGAGAATAAGATTCGGTTTCACTTCAAAAATGTTCTGCCATTTGAAAAGTTCCCCGACTTATCCAATAGATGGCGCAGCGAACCTCATGACAATCTGAAGCAGGCAGCTCAGGGACGCACAGAGAAGAGTGGTCCGCCTCAACGGTAAATAAACCAGTTTGTGAAATACACAATAAGT